GGGAATCTCCATTAACCAACATGTCATCGATGATCCAATAGGTTTTGACACTGCAGAAATGGGAGAACCTCACGTCACCAAGGTTGTTCACCGATCAATGATTGATTTTTTAATGTTTTTCACAGCTCAAAATCCAAGAAGAGATTCGTGCCAAGAACAGTGTTTTTATCCACACGTATATTGTCTATACGCCAGGGTTCAGCACCTCCAATTCGCAGAATGCTCCTCCAATCTGCCCAGCCCTGCGTCTGAGGCAGTTCCTTTCTTCCTGTCGGGGGAAGTTGGACCTCACGGCTTCGGCGGGGTGTGGACCGACGACCCCAAAAAAGTCATGCAACGCAGTTCCATTGAAGAAAGTGGATATTAGATATTAGTAAACATTGGGCATATTTGGGCATAATGTTTATTTCCCAATGGGGCTTAAAATACCATGGTGACTATTCATTTAAGTAACCTCTGGCCTGCACCCTCAAGGGTTTGATCTTCACCTTTTTCTTACGGTTAAGATCCCAACCATTGCTGGTTAAATTCACAGACTATCCATGTCTATCCCATTTATCCCATGTCATGGTTAGTCGATATTTATTGGGGGTTTGCTGAAGATGACTTGTTGCTTTCACAATGGGAAGTGCACCATTTGGATCCATTCAACGAATCTATACGGAGCCTTATTTGTTTGAACCATCTTCAGCCTTAAGCATCCTTAAAGCATCCTTAAGCAGATCCAAGTTATCCCAGCCGAGGCCCAGGGCGACTTGGAACTCATCAACCGCATGGCGCGGAAGGGCATAGCTTCATGGGAGATCGGACTGGAATTAAGTTTGGGTAATGATCAAGACTTATAGCCATAGTAACAAATCATAAGAAGTCAGTTGTTCAACATGTATATATGTACAAGAAACATATGCATGAACATTTGTACATTATGGAATAACATTGTATACAGGAATTATGATTTTGAACCCTTTCGTTGGGTGATGGCACCTAGGCAGACTGGCGAAGTTCCAAACTTTGGGCTGTCAAATTTCGTGGTAAGTTCCAAACTTCCAAATTGTCTCAATATGTTTGACTATTTGGTTGATCTAACATCCCTGGTAATTGGGGAGCCAAGCATATTCCCTGGTAATTGGGAAGCCAAGAAGCAAAAAAAGAGTTTCCCAACCACATGATAGTTGATATGAGGTTGTCTCAAAATGGGTCACAGCAGCACACCCAACTCCATAATAGCATACTGGCCGTGTTCAGAGGGAACACGGGGCTTTGGATGAAATGGGGGTCCAAATTTGGAGGCAACCCAAGATGACCCACATAAGAAACTGGTTGGTTGATAAATAGAGGGGCAATATCTCAATTTCCAAGACTCTACATGAGAGTAAGTGGGTCTCCTGTTTTAGAGGTTTCAAACATATGACTTATTTGGTGATGGAAGTTGGTCAGGGAAGTTGGCAAGAATTCTATATTTCAAAATATGTCAGAGTCTAATGACGTGGATTGTACTCAGGGGTACCACCATTTTAGGAAATCAACAGGTGAATTTGCAACCAGTTTACCCCGGTTACCCTTTGGCAGTTGAACAGTTTGCTTTTGAAAATGACCATTTACTGTAGTTTGATGATTTGGCTATTAACAAACATCCAGTTCGCTTTGCCGCTATGTTAGTTTACCAGAGAGTTTTGTTATAACATATGATATGATATTATATTATATATATAATTATATAATTACTGTATATATATATATAACATTAAGTTAATTATTGAATTATCCATAGTTGTATATAATTATTTGCCTGTATATGCCCATCGTCTCCCCATGTTTCTTGCCTCAATCCCCCTCACTCCACCACCTTAACCGCAGGCAGCGGGGGGCCAAGTGCGATCCATGCTGCTACTGGCGGACCCCTTTGGTCCGGTGGAAAAGATCATGTCAGGGGCACAGGGTGGAGCTGGTGGGGTACTGTAGTAGGGAATTGGCCCTAGGGTAAACATACAGGTGTGGACAATCCATGGGCAAACGGATTGACCTGTGAAGTTTGGCGACAATATGCTTAACTTGAAACCGCTGGTGGTTGGATACGGGTAATCCCTCAGCGACGACTACATGGTCCACGGTTTCTCAATGTTTCTCACAACCGGGACCTTTCTTGGATGCAGCATGATGCAGCCGGTGATTTACGACCCAATATAACTCACAAATGCAACCCATGCATATAAAAAACATATATAACCCATTTATATATATATATACTGGTATATATATATATATATATTTATTTATTTATAACCCATATTTAACTGGATTCTAATATGTTTCTTGCCCCCGTAGCATTCCTGGGATGTAGCCGCGTTATTCCCCATCTGCTCAGGGCCAGCTTGGATGAGAGCTTCCCCAAGGCGTTTTTCGGTGTGTCGAGGTGTGTTGAAGAATCTAGGAATCTGTTGGTGATGTGATTTATGTTTTTGTTCCTAGTGGATTGGTTATTCCCACTGATTGGGGAACCTCCTGGTACTAACTGGTACTATGTGTTCTCTTCTTTCCTAGCAAATCCGAGAGTATGAAACATGAAGTCCCTAGAATTGGTGAAAGCATCAGGTGAAAACTTGTTTTTTTTTCGAGGCATGGGGTATTCCAGTGGTGGTCCCGCGAGACAATAGCAGACGTCATGAAACCATTGTTGGGTCCTTTAGAGGTCCAGAATTACCCTCTGGTAAATTAACATAGCTATGGAAACTCATCATTTTTAATAGGTAAATCAACTATAAATGGGCCATTTTCAATAGCTATGTTACTTTACTGGAGAGTAAAAACTACACGTTGGTCCCGCAGAATTCATGAACAGTTTCCATTGAATTGTCAGGCAGACAAAGTGTTGGCCCTCCAGCCTCTAACTATCTCCAACTGTTTGGAGGCACCTTCTGGTAATTTGAGATAGCTAGGGAAAACATGACCATCTTTTAGAGGTAGATCATCTGTTTATAAATGGGCCATCTATTAAATGCTACAATTTAAGGATCTATTAGACCCACCATGAATGTAGATCATTTTTGTGACCAGGAAAAAATTGAAGTTTATGAGCCACCATAGCCACCATTGTCTCAAAGTTTGGTGGGTTTTGTGGTCATGATATCCGTTCCAATGAAATAGTTTCCATCAAGCCCGCCGTGCACTGAATGGATTTCTATGTCTTATACCCTCCGGTTATTTAACCAAGCTTTGGAAAGTCACCACTTAAATTTTGAATGGGTGAATCATCTATAATGGGCCATTTACCATGGCTATTTATAACCAGACGGTAAATCCCATTAGCTAAGCCCCATGACATTAAATTATTATAAATCATATGAAATCCCATCAAATCATAGCTATGTTGAATAGCCGGAGGGTAGGCTGCCTCTTTCGAGCCAGATCTTGGTTGAACACCAGGTATCAAAAGCCGGAGGCATCACAGCAGCCTTGCGTGTCGCTTGGCTCTGTGTGCAACCCGTGGGGGGTTTTCAATCCATGGAGGATCCCCAATAGCTGGATATTCCATGGATCCAAAGATAAAATGGATGATGAACAGGGGTACAGCGGAACCAGTAGACAAGAACCCATTAAGAATTGTTCAGCCTACCCTGGGGTTCTTAAGTGCTGTAGGTGGAATATTATATGGGAATTATGAATGAGGGCACCCTCAAGTTCTTAAACGGGTTAGTTCTTACGGGGTTCATACCGTGGGGGTTTTGCCAATTCATTTTGGCGTGGTATTAGGTTGCAAAGGAGGCGGGGGGAAGAAAAAAAAATTAGGTCCTGAAAGTTTTTTTTTTTGATTTGGGCGTCCAACAAGGCAGCACAGGCAAGACAAGCCAAGACAAGCCAACACAAGCCAAGGGCAGCCTCCAAGGTCAGATGACCTTCAGTGAGTCCGGCTGGCGTCTCGCCGAAACTGTCGACGTCACCTTTGGTGACCACACAAGAGGTCGAATTTCCCTCGGGCCGCACCATATTTGTCATCGTTTCCGTGGTACATAATCTTTCTTTTGGGAAATAGCTGCTGATGGTCAATTTTTGGTATATTGATACCCGTTAAAGGGGAATAAGAACCAGTGGCTAGAATTCTAGGGTACCCTAGGGTTCTTATTTCAATTAGCTGACAGAAAGGGTTGAATCCAGCAATCCAGCCCCTGAAGTTCTTATTGCAGTAGGTTCTTGAACAGTGGTTTCACTGTGCATCCATTTTAGGAAACCTCCAACTGAATACTACAGAATACTATAGCTTCTGTAGTTTAAAAGTATCAAAAACCACACTCATCGGAGTTATCTTCGCCAACTCGGGTATCGTTTGGAGGCACCACATTGTAGGTTTTATAGAGAGTCTTTTGTAGGCTTTACAGAGATTTCCAAAATTGGCAGATTTAGGTCCAAGATATATTGCTTCTGAAATTACGAAAAAGGATGTTCTAGATCATGGTGCGGAAGGGGGCGACTACCCCATTCCGAGACCACCCCACATGATGATTTCTACAGGAGTTTCCATAAAGAATTCCAGCGACAGATGGTGATTTTCCAGCCATGTTTGATTGCCAGACAATGTTACCCAGCGTTACCCAGCTACTTGAATCATCCCAGCATTTAGCCATCACTTGGCTGAGGTGGGAAGTGGCGGGCAGACCGGCTTCATGGCTTCCATGTCCATTTGCTCCAGAGGCTGCCGGGGCTGGGGAGATGGGAGTTGCCCAAACGTTCTCCTGGCACGTTTTGCCGAAGGTGAGTTTCCAAGAAAGAAAACGGAGAGACCGAACCGATCATTGGTTTCCCCTACTGACCTACTGCACTACCAAAAATGTGGTGGAGTTGGGGATCTCCACCATTTTCTGCTGGGCGTTTTCCCAGGCAACGACCAAGCTCGTTTGCTGAGTCAGGGCATTTGCGGGCCCGCTATCTCAGGGGTGGATGGGAGCAGGTCCGGTGGTGAATTGATTGTATAAAACAGCATTGCGCAAATTTGCACATGTATTTTATGTGCTGTCTTTTTTGTTGCTTAATCTCCCATTTTGCTGTTGCAAGTTTAAGTTAGTCAGGGTTTACAAGTTGGGAACTAAGATGCAAGCATACAATATCTTGAACTAACAGTTCTGATTGTTGAGCCAGGCGAGAACATGGGAGACCGTAGTATGCTGTTGTGACGTGGATGTGATCAAACCTATGTTTCCACGAGAAGCTTAACATGGAACTTGACCATAAGACCATATGTAGACAATGATATGTGCTTACAATGCAACATGTAACCAGTTATACCCTATGGGCTATAAACATTACTTATCAACTTCCAATATATATATATATATAATATATATATAGATATATATAGATATTTATATATATATATATATAGATATATATATATATATAGATATAGATATATATATATATGTATATATATGTATGTTTGCGTGCCATTTTGACCAGTGTATATAATTATATATACATAACTTTAAAGTGATATTTTTTTAAAATATAAACCACTTGACGCTGCGCAACGCAGCGCAGCTGTGAGGCTCATGATGACCGAGATGGATGTCCGCAGACCTGGTGACGTCACGAAATGGTCATCCCTTCACCCAAGGTGATATGTTTGGGGATTTTCAGCAGCAAAAACTGGGATTTCACCAGCAAAACTTGGGATTTCCATCAGCAAACTTCAGGACTCAACAAAGTAAAGTGATGTTAAGTGGATGTGATTGATATTGATTTCCGGTTGTTTGTTTATGGTGACCTACCGTTGTGAGGGGTTGGGCGTTGCGGGTGTCAAACGATGATTCACAGATATTTCTGGATTTAGCCATGAAATGGTCGAAGGAAGTTTAGAAGTCAAACTTCTAACAATATGGACAGATGAAATGCATCAGAGAAGAGAAGAGAAGAGAAGAGAAGAGAAGAAGAGAGAAGATCAAAGAAGAGAAAGTCTCCGAAGAAAGAAGATCCAGGTGCGCGAAAAGGTAGGAAAGTCGCGAAACACTGTGTTTCTCAAATGATTTGTGGCTCCGGAGGGTCGAAAAGTGGGCTCGCTAAAGCGGCGGGTGCGGAGCCAGCTGGCCAGATGAGAGATGAAAAGTTGCACACCGTTGTGGCGCGAAGCGCATTTCCAAGTCAAAATGCACAAATACACCGTTCGTGGAACACTTTTGGAAGTTGAGATGTCGAAAAAGTGCACACCGTTGTGGCGCGAAGCGCATTTCGAAGTCAAAATGTACAAAGCACACCCCACTTTCGGAAGTTGAGATGTCGAAAAAGTGCAGGCCATTGTGGCGCGAAGCGCGTTTCCAAGTCAAAATGTGCAAAACACACCATGTTCGGACCACTTTTGGAAGTTCAGATGTCGAAAAAGTGCACACCGTTGTGGCGCGAAGCGCATTTCCAAGTCAAAATGTACAAAGCACACAATGTTCAGACCACTTTTGGAAGTTGAGATTTCGAAAAAGTTGCACACCGTTGTGGCGCGAAGCGCATTTCCAAGTCAAAATGCACAAATACACCGTTCGTGGAACACTTTTGGAAGTTGAGATGTCGAAAAAGTGCGCACCGTTGTGGCGCGAAGCGCATTTCGAAGTCAAAATGCACAAAGCACACCCCACTTTCGGAAGTTGAGATGTCGAAAAAGTGCAGGCCATTGTGGCGCGAAGCGCGTTTCCAAGTCAAAATGTGCAAAACACACCATGTTCGGACCACTTTTGGAAGTTCAGATGTCGAAAAAGTGCACACCGTTGTGGCGCGAAGCACATTTCGAAGTCAAAAGTGGAAAAAAACTGAGGGTATGGGGCACTTTTGGAGGTTGAGATGTCGTTTTGCGTGGCAGGCACAAGGGATTCTGCACCTTGCCAAAAGTGAGCAAAACTGAGGGTTTTGTAGTATTTACAACTACTGCCACCACTACACTCCACTTCACTTCACTACGCTACACTATACTCAATTACACTACACTGCAATTACAACTACAACTACACTAAACTACACGACACCAATTACATTGCACTACGCTAATTACATTACACTACACTACATTATACACTACACTACACTAGCTAAAACTACAGCTACGACTGCACTACACTCCACTCCACTCCACTTCGCTACACTACACTACACTCAATTACACTACACTACACTACACTACACTACACTACACTACACTACACTACACTTGCAACTACAACTACAACTACATTACGCTACACTACACTAATTACATTGCACTACACCAATTACATTGCACTACATTACATTACACTATACTACACTAGCTACAACTACAACTACAACTATCGCTACAACTGCAACTTCAGCTACAACTACACTACATTACACTACACCACACCACTTACAGTACACTACACTCCACTACACTACATTCCGCTAGACTACACTACACTCAATTACATTCAATTACGCGACATTACACTTTACTACACTAACTACAACTACAACTACAACTACAACTACAACTACAACTACAACTACAACTGCGCTAGAAAACACTACACTACACTAATTGCATTACACTACAGTATGCTACACTACACTACACCACACTACACCACACCACACTACACTACAGCTACAACTACACTACACATCCAGCAGTTGTGGCTGAGGTGACCGACCAGGTGACCACTGCAACCATTGCAACCACTCCAAAAAACACAGCTCAAACCATCTTCGGTCCATCAGTGGATTCGCTCTGCCATCTGGGATTCACAGCAACCAACCTCTCCTACAGGTTTCCTATTTTCGAAACTTCCGCCACCGCCTTGTGCGTTACTGCTTGTATCAAATGGAGAAATGGATGTTAACAATAGTTATGGTGGTTAGCGCGGCAAAATTAAAACCAGAAACCATGTCTAATTCTACAAGAAAGGTGGGCTTATCTCTTTACTCGGCGACTTGCGACTGGGAAAACCTTGGATGATTTTAGTATTTCAATTAAATACATACAAAAAATATATATAGATATAAGTGAGAAACAACAATATATTAACCTTTGAGCTGCAGCATGATTACCTGTGTTTTGCTTGGCCAAGATTGGCCATAACCAAGCCGCGACCAAGCCATGAATGCCCCGAGGTTCACACGGTGGTTTGCCAAGGCTGCTTGGGCGTTGGACCTGCTGTGGGGCTACCGAGGATGGCAGGGCGCCGGAAAAACAAGTGTTGTTCATGGAGAAGGTGATGAAAAAAAAACCATGGGGATTTGTGCGAAACAACCCCCTCATCATCATGTCCTCGAAATAAAAAGGAGGTACCTGGATATTGATTAAAATGTGTTTTTATTTGGAAATGTCTGGCTACTGCCGAAAAACATACGAAACAAAACAAAAACATTTTATAGAAGGCCAATTGTAAGCCATTTGTGATGGATCCACACTAAAGAGATAGATGTAGTCATAGTGGATAGATAATTAGAATTATGTATATTATATTTTTAGAGAGAGAGATAGGCAGACGGATAGATGGAGATGGTTTCAGATTGGTTTCAGATTGTTTCAGACACCTCTTGGGAGCCCTTCCCAAAAGGGCAACTTGCTGCAGCTTCAAGGGATCTCTAGCAGAAAAACCGCTGTGTGACGGACATTGTGGAGTCCAGTGCAGCAGTAGCCCTTTAAAGGAGCAGTTGCCGAAGGAATTACAGAACAGAGATGGGGTATAGAGAGTGGTGGCACAGAGCTTGTAGAATAAAAGGTGACAAACAGATCAAACAGATGCCCGAGGAAGAGGTGTCATGACAGATATAATCCAAACGATCAAATTTCAGAAGGCAGAGGCCACCACAGCAAAGAAATGTCAGAGAGAGCCGGCGCGCGAAATCCACCGGAACCTGCAATAGGCTTTAAAGCAGCGCAAACCAGATTTAAGCCATCTCTTCATAAACCCTAAACCAACCCTAAAATCTTACATAAGCACTAAACCAACCCGAAACCAACCCTAAAGAAATCCCCAATAAATATCAAGAACCCAACAACCCAAGTCACCAGCGTAATGTAAAAGGGGATTGCGAAATTGAAAATAGTTATGAGCAAACGTATTCAAAACCACGTAATTCTGCTTGTAGTTTTTCAACTTACAACACTTACCGTGTGAACGTATTTTCTTTGATCATTACTTAAACTAATTTGTTGCTCTAGGCAGGATACATTTGGTGATGCCGTTGCCGGGAAAATAATACGCCTTAATAAGCATGAGTGGGATGCAATGCTCCCACACCTTCTTCAATTTGCCCTCCTTGCTTGCTGCAAATCTCAATTTTGGTTCCTTGACATCGACAAATTCGGTGCTTGCAACCTTCAGTTCCTTTTGGGTAAATTCACGTTTTTGTTGACACCATATCCCCCAATGTGTGCATCCAAGTAAGTGGTTCATAAACATAACTATATTATATGTAGATATGCAAAACTAAATGTTTTTGTATATGTATATATACATATAGAGAGAGAGAGAGGAGATGTAACTATGTGAATGTATAGGATACCCTGGTGATTTATACCCCACATGCTCCATGTATGGCTCCCAGGTCCGAGTCACAGGCGTCTCCGGGCCAGTGGTCACTGGCATTGGCGGCAGGCCGTGGAAGCATCGGTTGTTTCAAACGGCTGGATCCAAAGGATTTATCATACAGATCCTGGTTTTGTATGGGTTTGATATGGCTCTCGGAAAAACCATGGGCAACTCCTGAGGTTTTTCATATCTACTTTGGGTTTGATAAAAAAAACTTGTGTCATGGTGTGAACACGAGGGTTCCCTTCACATGGTTGTGAAACCCATGTTCAGAGTCATCCCCATCAAACAAGTTCATTCCCTCAGTTTTTTTTGTGGGGGGTGGGGGCGGAAAATGATGGTAATTTGTTTTTCTTTTAATTCACCATTACATGGTTTGTGGCAACCCTATTATATCCTATTATCATTTATTATCCAAAATCTATTTTTGGTACTAGAACCAAGACCAATATTAAACCACGATGTCTGAGAAGCATGGGGCATCACTTGCGCGGAATGGATTAGAATTAGATCATCCCCAACCAACCGCAGAAGAGGTAGTATCATCCTTTTCATGTTTTGCTATACATGGAAAATTACCATAATCAGCAAAAGATATTTTGTTGTGGACTACCAAAGATTCGCCATGAGATGTGGATAAGTTTGCCTCAAATGGTGAGGTCATCCCAGCTGCAGACTGGTTTCATTGGCAGCCGCCCTGATTTGTTTCGTTGCCCAACGGGCACTTTGCGCAAGCACATGGCACTGTGCCCTACGGGCCCCTAAATTCTTTGCACTTCAAGATATGCATCGAAAAAGAGAGGGCGTGGTAATGCTAGGCCGTCAAGTGCGATGCAAGCGATACCAAGGCCATCTAGTGTCCCTGCGAGCGACATATCGGCAAGACCTTCAATTCTTGACGATGCACGGCCACAACCGAACCAGAGGTTGCAAGCTCCAAAACCATAGGCTGCGCCAAGTCCTTGGCTAAAATCAAGAAGGTAAGGCCGGCCATTCAAATGAAGTACCAACATCTTGGACTAAAGCCTGACTGTTTTCATACCGATTTAGCATTTAAGTTATCCACGCTGTACTGTAATATCAAATTTACAATATTAGTTTATATTATGAGATTAACTGCCTTTATTGGCATATTAATCCATATTATACCTCAATTTATTGTATCTAGTGGCTACTCATCTATTCGCTGTTGTACCCCCTACTTGTAAAATATTGCTGCAATTAGATAATTTGTTGCTTTTTTCTGTGGATGATAAGCCTTCAACGAAATGCGATGTCTTGGTATATACCCCAACTAATTACGACCACCCCGAATTGCTAATTTGGGCAATAGGCACTGACATAAACCAACCGATTGATGAGTAACATTCAAATATGTTGCTGTTATCTTTATACCCACAATCCAATCCCAGTGTCTTTAGCTATATCCACCAGAAAGCCAAGACGAAAGGGGCCTCAAAGTTATAAGTTTGTTTATTACCTTATCTAACTGTATTGATATTTAATAAACACATACATATACATTTTTTATAGCCCCCAGCCGACGTAGTTATACAGCAGCTCGCCATAGCTCGCCTATTTTGTGCCCTTTCCTGTAGACACATTTGAATCTCCCATCTCTCTTCAAATTATCATTTTATGATTGCGATTTCCCGCTGGATTCCTAGTATTTTTTTGTAGCTGTTCAATCTTTGCATCAACATTAGTGACTGTACAACCATCTAATACTAGCTATACGGTATAATACAATTATTTAACCACAATCCAATCATCTACACATGTATAAGTTTATATATGCATATAAACATATGTAATTATATATATACACATCACAAATACCAGTTATCCAATCCACATTAGCCCGGATGGGTTGTAGTGACTCACTGTCTTCCGTCACTGGAATAATGGTTAGTAAGGTCAACCGTCGATACTTAGCCTTATTTCGGTTATATTCAGGCTAGTGAGTTTTTAATAATGCGGTAAGCCATGGTAAACCCAATAATCCATCCCCAAAATCACCATAAATTAGTAAGATTCCAGCCATCCCGAATGGTGGTGGCAGTTGCAGCATGAACATCGATGCACTCTCAGGGAGATGTGGCAAACCCTCTACTATCCACGAAGGCCTTGACCCTTCCATGCCATCGATGTGGCTCTCCTGTCTCTTCGTGACTACTACTAACTACTAACTACTAACTACTTCCTACTACCTACTACCTACCACCTACCACCTACTGCCTACCACCTACTCCCTACTCCCTACTGCCTACTGCTTACTGCCTACTACTCACTACCCCTGCTAGTCCTGCCAATCCTACCAATCCTGCTGCTACTCCTGCCACTCCTACTACTCCGCTCCTTCTATTCCTAGTCTTACTCCTACTGTTACTCCTATTCCTTTCCTCCTTCTCCTCCTACCCCTCCGGCTACTAGTATGATTACTGCTCCTCCTACTACTACTACTACTACTAGTACTACTACTACTACTACCACTACTACTACTACTACTACTACTCCTACTCCTACTCCTACTACTACTGCTGCTGCTGCTACTACGACGACTACTACTACTGCTGCTACTACTACTACTGCTGCTACTACTACTGCTACTGCTGCTACTACTACTACTCCTACTCCTACTCCTCCTCCTCCTACTACTACTCCTCCTCCTGCTCCTACTCCTGCTCCTACTCCTGCTCCTGCTCCTGCTACTCCCCCCTATTTTACTTTACTACAGCCTACATTACCTATGCTACCTTTACTACCTTTGCTACCTATACTACCTTTACCACCTATACTACCTATTATATCTATATTTTTACTGTGTTTACTACTTGTAGTACTACCTACGACCTACCTACCACCTCCCACCTAGTCCCGCTGTACCCATCTAAATCCATATTATCCCTGCCACTTAAACGCCCCCACCTTCGTGAAGGCCTTCCAAAGAAGCTCTGGGCCTGATTTATGGCGCTGTCAACGAGGTGCGAGGGCCTCAAGATGGGAAGGGCCCCCCGAAACAATGGGTAAATGGTGTTTTAATGAATGGGCAAAAATAATACTTGACCAACATAAACATGGATGTAATATGATGTAATGTATATATGTAAATTGAAAGTATGGTATAATCTTTAATCTATTGTGAGTTTTCTGGTGTATAAATAACTGGTATAAGTGCTGGAGGGGGCTCTAGGGGGTTATATCATATTTCAGTGATGGGGACACCTCTTTCCATTGTCATAACCCCAAGGCTGCTGAATTTTGGGAAACAAACAGTCCTTGCAAACCACTGGATCTTGTGGGTTTTCCATGGTTTTCGCGAAGTGCGTCTCTTTTTTTGGGGAACTTCGAAGGAACTTCGCGCCAAGATGCAAACGAGTTTGTTGATTGGCCTCGGAGGCTGGAGATGAGCAGTGTGAAAGAGACCCGGGTGGATGGATGATTAGTTCGGGGACTATACTAACCAAAATACTGGGGATAATCATAATCCATGAGGCGAATCCCTATCAACCGACCAGTATTAAAGGACGACACACGGTTTCGAGCACTGTTCATGTGATTTAATTAGAGGGGAGGAAACTTTGCCCCTCCACTTTGACAAGGCGGGAACTTTTCAGGGAGGAACCTCTGGATGTGCCAATGATTTTTGATTTTTGAAATACCATGTCATTCCATGCATATCCATGCGTGCATTTATATATAGCACACGTTTAAACGTAACAACATGATTAAATTTTAAGGTGCTCCGGCTAATTTAATTTGGTCGTTATTTGCATGTCCCTTCAGGCTGCCCGTGACACAAAGAGTGGCATCTCGGCGAAGAAGGGACGCACACTTTCATGGCCAATCGGGCCGACACAGCCTTGTGGATTGAACCAAGAACAAAAACTGGTTGGTGGTTTGGAACCATGGAATTTTATGACTTTCCATATATTGGGAATAGTAACCCCAACTGACGAACTCATATTTTTCAGAGGGGTTGAAACCACCAACCAGGAAGGAGTTTGTGGAAGTGAAAGGATCTTTGATGATTTTGATGGAAGAGAACGAAACTCCAGGTGGACGCCAAGCCCTGAGTCCAGCGGCAACAGCAGAGCATTTAAGGGCTGTGTCCATGTGCAGGAAAGGGGCACGGAATCGCGGACTGCACGGCATAGCAGGAAAATCCAATATAGATATAATTACTTGATAGGATATGATAGCATGAGGGCGAATTACAGAAAGGGTTTTGGAACAACCAAAAGTGAAGCGTAGGAATGTGAAACAAAACTACGTCATTGGGATTCAAAGTATTGCAATCCACCAATAAATGTTAGCGCAGCGACCCTCAGACCATGACCCGAAAATGGTTCTAGTAGCAACAAAGTGGTATGACCAAAAAGATGGGGATGGGGCAAGCCTTCCACCAAGCCAAAAACTTTGGGAATAGTTTCGCACCGGCAACAAAAAATGGGACGCATGGGTTAGACGGATACCAAGTACACATCAAAGGAAGTCTCTGAGTTTGTGCAGTCTCAAAATATGGAGGCAAAGAGCATGACAACAATGCAGACTTAATTAGCTGATCCAAGTTGGGATTCAACCAAATAAGGATTAATTTTGATTTAACATTTAGTTGAAGACGAAACGGCATGGGGTCATGAACGACGTAAATGGGAAACTTCCCAAGACTGTGCATGTGTTAGCGTCAGATTGAACATCCCTTAAATCCTTTAAATGGGTATGGACAAGTAATGATAGTACTGATGATGATCCCGGTCCCCAATGCTTGGATGATTCCTGAAATCTGAAGCGGGTAGCAACGGGGTTTGGATCCACTACCAGCTCTTAAGGAATGAACTAATTAAGCCCGATACTAACCATGTACCAACTTGAACGGTCATCAATGTGAAAGATTACCCCTAACATATTGAAACATGGTAAATCTATAGAATACACGGTATATGCATACACCTCACACGATATAGAGTATAATATACAATGGTTTCCGCTAATATGCAGATGATATACATACATAATTTAATTCGTAATTATATATATATAATTATATATATATATATTTAATGATAAATAGAGAGAATTTTTATACATCGAAATGTGTTTTCACGTAAACAGTTCTCAACATGTTTGTTTCCCCAAACAGCTCACGGATGCCCAGGGGAAGGCATGAACGAGAACCAGGCCTCAGCGGAATGGGGTGGAAATCTGGGTGATCCATGTAGAAATCAACAGTAGATGATGTGCCCTAGGGTTACTGTACTATCATTTTTTCATACTCATATAGATCATATAGATGACTCAGCATTTTTGATATATGGTACTTAGTCTCATTTTTAATACTCCATATAGATGAAAAATGATGATTTTCAATTTAGACTCATATATAGAAAATCACCATTAATAGGCGACTCATCATGAACCATCTATTTTCATGGGACATTTTCCATGGCTATGTTAAACAATCAATCAGAGGGTTTTTTTTGCCCTGGGATCTACGGGTTCACCACTGAAAATCTTCCTGCCATGGGTTGCGGATTGGAAGGCGGCTTGTCTCTCAAACTGGAGAATACTCAGGGTCCAGTTTTTGGGGAGATGGTAATGTGTCGTCTAACTTCGTTGCCGCACATTTGGGAAGTCACTTGCATCATTTGTATCACTTGCATCCGAAGTTTTTCTCTTTGCTGTGTACCTAAGATTATATATATACCCATGAAACATCCCAAACAAGAGACTTTCATAACTGAGGATTCAAATGTAAGAGCTCGACAAAAATCCCACCAGAAAGCGCACGATTAAGTTTGGTTCGGAGTGTGGGAAGGACATTGGACATGCCATTTGCTGAATTACAAGAGATGGGTGTCCAAGTTAAATCCCTTACAAACGTCATCATTGGATATCATTGGGTTGATTTTATCCCTCTACACTGGGTGTCCATGTGTACGGGTTGTGTTTTCCGCTCAGTATTGCTCTAGTCCCTATTTTGTTGATTAAGTATGATTAGGCGGCTCAATCCCAATGCCTTTGGGTTATATACCCTCCGGTAATCAAACATGGCAATGGAAAACCATGGAAAACCTTTCATTTACCGATGTTTTTCCGCTATTTTCCCATTCAAACCTCCATTCATAGAGGATTTCCAATGCAAATCCCTTGGGGTTTCAATCCGGGCCCAGTTTCAGACACCAAAAATTTTAGGTGGTGAGTAGAAACCACTCCTCCGCCCAGATCGATGACGGAGATTGGTTGATCCGAGGTATTCTGGAGGCGCTTTGGATCACCCAGATTTTTCTGTTTGGATCCGCCCGGATGTCTTGGGATCACCTGGTTGTTTCCTAACCGTTTCGGAGTCGAGTTTTTGTAAAGGGTTTTATAAAGACCGAAAAAAATCCTGGTTGGTCTCATGATGGCAACATGGGATCATGTAATGATATGGCACAAATATTCGCAGCTCCGTGCCAAGGTCTGATTTTTTGATGTATCTGATGATGTTCAATTCTGCAATGGAATTCTGGGTTTAGAAAATCCTGTTCCTAATTTTCCATGCATAGCAAATTCTATACAGATTTGGTTTTGCACCCATCCAAGCGGATGCTTATACCCCATCCGTAACAGGGGTTAATGATACTATGTACATTCTACGTACCCAAGATGTCTGGAATTGCCTTGATCATGGTTGCATGACGACCGCTGGTATGCTGGCCCTGTTGTTGGTTGGATTACAGTACCATCTTGAGTTAGTTGTATGAATATCAAAGCCATCACTGCAAAACACCCAGCACATTTCGTTACATGAAATTGTGTGACAATTGTATTATTGGACAGTGTGAGTTTTGGTCACAACATGTATGATGAAGTTTTAATATACTGAATCCCGTTGGATGTTCTCTACGATGTATCCCCAATATAAATAATATAAATAGGGTTGCTATTGAATATTGAAAGTAAATCAGTGCGACGGGGGGAATGTTCCCCCGTCTGCGTATTTGGACTACTGGGAGAATCCCAGATGAAAGCGATAAATCACTGAACCAAATGGGCAATGGCTCAAGTATAGCACTGTCTTAGCTCACCGGAAGGTCAATTGTGCCGCTTTTAGATCTTTTAGCCAGGTGTTTGATACTAATATCAATGGACATTTCAGTTAACATATATATTTGGGGGTATATCATGGTATATCCATTTACATAGCCCCAACACAGACCTTTTATATGCTAGGTCATGGCTAGGTCCTTCCAGCTTAGTTTTTTTTAAAATAAACCCTTTGGTAGTCAAACAATGGCAACTGAAAGTCCCCCCGAAATGGGGGTTTGAGGGTGAAAATCATCGAACTCCATGGGTGATGGTTCATTGCCACGTCTGATGACCGCATTTTCACAGTATCCACCATGAAAACTCCATGAAACCATCATTAAGTCCCATGAAACCACCAGTTTACCATATTTTACCCCAAAAAAACATCGGTTTTACCGTTGATCACCAACGTTGGATGGCGCGGCCCTGGGAACTGGCGGCCATGGGTCAGCTGGTCAGGTGACACCCAATGGCGGCTTCGTGCTGGGTGCCGGCATCAGCGAGGCATGTTTGGCAAGAAATGTAGGTACAGTATTTACTATGAAGATCTATGAAGAATTATTAAAAAATGCTGGTTTTGGATGAGTCTTGATGGGCTTGAATTAGTTTTAATGGGTTTTGATGGACCAAGGGCATCCAAAGAAGAAAGTGAAACAGGAGATCTTGGACAAGATCCCTGAACTGTCCAAGATTGAGCAGGGATTCGACCTGAGGATCTACAAGGGTTTGCTTCCGAGTATCACTCGGACAAAGTCTCTGCTAAGTATAGCCACAGGTGCAATCCTTCAAGCAGAACATGGACAACATAGAGTGGCAGTTGGCGGGGTCGAAATCAGAAGTGAATTTATCACTCAAATCCCTGGGTCAGAAGATGCTCACTCAAATGACCACAGTGGCCAACACGATGAAAGGAATCCAGTCAGAGATGAAGGTTCAACACACGGCTCTCATGGATACGCTCAACGGAGCATTGAAGGAGCTGACCTCTGTGTTGGCTGGGGTGCAGACTTGGCAATCAGTGAGTCCTGGGTGGGCACCGTTGACGTCACAGCTGGCGCATGCTTTACTGGTTATCCAGATTTTTGTAGAGGAGTCAATGGGTCTTCACGACAAACAAATCGAGAAACCTGGGAATAATTACAATTAGAATCCCACCTAGGCTCAGCAGGTGTGCAAAAGAACATTCGCAGAAGATCTACTTTGATCAGGATTCTCCCAGTTCGGCAATAGACGAAGCTTGTTTTTTGTTCAGAAGCAGCCCAAAAAGACACGCAGGTCGTAATGAATTCACACGGCCACATGGCGTGCAGCAACTGCTTCATGGGGATGATGGGAAGCCCCGCAGACATCGGTTTTTGATGGTTTTTGTAACCCCATAATTCAAGGATTGGTGCGAGTTGTAACAGTCCAACATGTTCCCCAGTAAAATTGTCTTTTTGCTTGGCCCCAGTCTCAATTGAATGATCTAATTTCACATTGTGCATAGGTTTAGGTAACCCAAAATTGATCATTGTTTCTCTATTAAATGACCGTTTTAGGATATCCCTCCATTCTTGCATAAACCAATAGATTCTTGGATAAACCAACACATAGCAGACATAGCATATACTCGTATCATATTGTTTCAATATTTTCCAATTGTGCTCCAGGACTCCAAGTCCACTCGTTTCAAAGCCGCAGGGGCAGGCCTTGCGATTTCATGTCCGAGACAAGGACTCCGCAGAAAGTCTCCGGGCAGCAATGGCTGGCTGGTGTTCTGGTGGGGTTTCAGTTGCAACAAATTGGGTTTCAGACAGAAAATGCTACCGGTTGACTCCATTGACAGACCACATGTTTGGATTTAACGATCCGAAAAAGGGTAAAGGAACTACAAAAAATGGGATTTTGCCATCAAAAACCTATAGAGCGGTGTTTTATACATACAACAGGTGTTTCTATACCCACATAAGTGTGGGTTTTACTATCCAAATGTGTAGATATTTTTTCTTGCAAGGATATGGATTTTACATGATTTAACATGATTGAACCATTTAACATTGGTATACAACCTACAAAACTGATAGTATTTCTGCATGTCCAAACTAGGATGGCATGGCATCACCAAAAATATTGGGTATGTGTCAAGGGCACGCCGGGCACGTGCATTCTCGGGAATCAGAACTGGCGACCGTAGTTTTGAAGCCCAGGAAGCAAGGACATAGTCAGCAGGCATGAATGTCAACCACCGCAAATGATGGTTGGTTGATGATTCCAAGGGGGCTTAGACTATCTTATACTACCCAACATGTTGGGGAAAATCATAGTCCGTTATACAACTGGGAGCCACTACCCTCTGGTAAACTAACATAGCTATGGAAAACCACCATTGTTTATAGATAATTCAACTATAAATGGCCATGTTCAATAGCTATGTTAAATTATACCAGAGGGTAACCAATGCAATCATTACGGGCTGCGGACTTGCCAATAGGTTGTGACACCGCTCAGGTGACTTGAACCTCATGCTGAATCGATACAGGCGAGTGCAGAGCTGGTTGCGGTTGCGGTTTAACTACCATCCCCTACCCAGTTCTGTCTTTTGTGCTGTATCATTCCTGTTTTTGGCGTAGATTGGAGGTCCAAGTGACATCATCTCGGTACATCAAGTGAATCTGATTCGAAGCTGATTCTAAGCTGCCCTTGCAGCATACCTGAAGCATTTGACGATTTGCATAGTGATTTAATAGTGTTTCAATGATTATTCACCAGTGGAATGCAAGCGCTAGCAACATTTGCACCTGTCATGATTTCATTGGAATTCATTCATTGCGGGAATTCATTCGACACTTCGTCCATTCGTAGGTCACCAAGATACCAAGGTCCTTAGGTCCTAGTCACACAGGTTGGAGCGAAGCTTCAGTGGGGGCAATGCCGGGCCACCCAACTTCCGGGTCGATAAACTGGTCGCTATTGCGGTTTGACTTTCAGCTGCTTGGTGGTTTGGAACATGGCTTTTATGACTTTCCATATATTGGGAATGTCATCATCCCAACTGACTTTCATATTTTTCAGAGGGTTAGGTATACCACCAGCCAGATATGGTTGCTTCATGTTGCTTTGTCAATGAATGTCAGTTGTTTTTGTTGATCCATTTTGAGAGAGTGAGAGGAGGATATAGATGCATATAGATGGATATAGATGGATATAGTCCCAGGCAAAAAAATGGTGAATGCTATGTCAATAGCCCATTTGTTTAGCTGTTTCGATGGAGGAATATACCACTGTGTGGCTGTCAAAAGCGGGATACCCAAGAAACGGCGGTTATTTGAAACTAATAAATGAATGTCAACCCCGGATGAACAAACCCCTAGTTTAGGTGGGCTGGTACCGTTTTTGGTAGCAGATGATCGCTTGTTGGGGGCTACGCCCCTAAGTGTTTATCAAATAATCCGTGGGTTGTCACTCTCAAGTTCATTCTGGTTGCATTTTCCCATCATCAGATGCAAACATGCCTTTCTGGAGTATATATATATATATAGATATTAGTCTATAATATATATATATGTATATCCTAAATCCACTGGTGAATCATCATCTTCACTTTGTTTTGCCTCATATGTTTGGAATATACTTCTCAATATATTCTGAATTTTCGGGACATATTCCTGAAATTTTGGGGAATGCCGGAATGCGTCCCGTCCCCTTGCCCTTGCGAGTTCCCCAGAAACAACGTGCGCGTCCTGCCTCGTCCCTGCCGAGGAACCCATCGGCTCTTTGCTGTTCACCTGCAATGGACGTGGAGAGGTCAGTGTTTTGCGCTTGGGGAAGTGACCAGAAATGGATGGAATGGTCCCACGGTTTATGGCGATGAGGTGGCGAAAGTGAAGTTCTAGCATTGGAGTAAAAAGGTGTTCAAAGAAAATTTATGGAAAGCAACAGCAAATTGCGTGTCCGAACTATTTATTCAGCCTCAATAGTGGTCAATGGAGATCTACAGTGGGGCCCTCAAGATGGCTATAATTAGATGTATATGGAGGGATATGTCAACAATTGGATTCGGTTGTAAGCCAATTTACAACTCAGGAGCCCCGCATAGACTTGTGTTGTAAAGGGTTAGCTAGCCAAGAGCTTGCCAACTTTGCGGGTTCCAAATCATCAAGCTTTGCCATGGTTTCACCCATCAGAGCAACCAAGTTCACCAGGAAAACATGAGGATTTAACAACCAAAAAATTGGAAAATCATGGGGAAGACATGAAACACATACCATCCCCCAACTAAGATGACAACCCTGGCCGAGCAGGGTCGAGCTGTTGGGTGATAGTTTGTTCATATCATCTATCAGAGTGTTGGTCACACAAATTATAGATTTTAATCCCAGTATAGTCCATAATATATATATAATATATTCCCCATACATATGCTGTTGTTTTTGTTCAGCTCATATTTTTTGTCGGAAACTCGTTTATCCGCCAAGTGATCTAGTTAGGTTTATCATCATGTTCCCAACATCAAAAGTGTTTCGGTGTCCAAGCTAGTTATGATTACCAACTTACCTATGATAAATCACATAGGACTCCTGTTGTGTGTTGGTCAAGCCATGTTCAGTCCCTATTGATATCTATTGATCTGATCAGCACACACAATCTATTGTTGCTTAGTCATATCCCGCCGTACTATTATTGAATAGTCCATTAAAACAAATGGTGGTTTCCCAATAAGTCACCATTAAAGCATGCACCATTCAATCACCATATACCAGGCAGTTACTTCTGCCCTCTAATGGAAGCCACTTAGACCCAAAGTGCCAAACGGTCACTTACAAGATCAATCATGCATAAGTGACCTCGTTTCATGAATCCTTAAGTGACCTCTTTGCCTGGCTGATCTCATGATTTCTGCGTATCACTGCGTGTTACTTGCGTGTCACTGGGGTTTCGAGGTGGGATGAAACGAGGTCACTTAGGACCCTGAAAAGGTCACTTAAGCCTTGAAAAGGTCGCTTAAGGATTGGCTGTCTGCGTGTCACCTGCGTGTCACTTGCGTGTCACTGGTAGGCCACTGTTTGGTTCGTTTCCTTAAGTGACCTCTTTCTACGTTTTCCTTAACTGACCTCTTTCTAAAGGCCACTTAGCAGAAAACACAAACAAGGTCACAAGGAATCGTCTGGTAGTTGGTTCAATATCCCATCAAATTTCCCCATACTAATGTTGTTCAAATCCCATTTAATCACCATAAAACTACCATGTTTCATGGTCAAATACGGTAAAATCACCATTAGACAACCTTTTTCACAGTACGGTATCCACGGAGACCGCTTGATGACAATAGTCTTTAGGGAATGCAACTTGGGGCGTTTCAGTCGCAACTGCCAGGGTCTTTGGCGGAAAAGGATTGTCTTTGCCAGCGTGGATTTTTCTTTATTTTTTTTCCATATTTTTCCACCGTTTTCATGGTTAAAGCATGGCTAAGGCACCATTTTTGACCCTTTCCCCACCCGGCTGACGAATCGTCAGGGCCTCTATGGTCGCCGCCACGTGGACGCGCGTGCCTTGCAGAACGCCTTGGGCGAGCAGCTGGGAACGTGCCTTGGGCCTTGGGCCTTGGGGAGCCCGTGGAGTTCCTAAATTTGGATACTGCAAGGCTTATAACCCCCCTATAAAATGGGAGATTATTACCCTCTGGTTATGTCAAAATAGCTATTGAAAATCATCATTTTTAATGGGAAAATCCACTATTTCTATGGCCATTTTCAATAGCTATGTTAGTTTACCAGAGGGTAGATGATGATAGATGTAGATAGTAGATATGTTTGATAATAATGATATTAACCCCCCGACGCGGTGAAGTATAGATAGTGTAGATATATCTCCGTAGTAAACATCTATAAACCCCAGTGAAATTGGAGTTATTTGCACCAACTTAGCTAACGAAGTGGGGCACCACCTTGTATGGTTTATGGATGTAAACATGATGTTTATGGTAGATATTATATATATATATATATATATTTGGGGGGGGTCCGAAAACAACTGGGGAGATTTACTTAAAAACGTGCATTCATTTAACTATATCTACCTATTGAAAATGATGATATTTCAACTGTTTCTGGCGATATTTACTGAAATGTGTCCCACATGTTTATCATACAAAATCCACATCAACAACCATTGAAACCACTGAAACCTTCCGGCAATCAAACGTGACAATGGAAAACCTCCCATTGATAGATGATTTTCCTGGCTAGAAACCTCCATGGCTAGTTCGGGGATTTCCCAGCCATGTTTGAGAACACTTGGAGGATCCCACTGCTGGCAACTGGTGAACGTAACCATAGTTACTGTATAACTTATAACACCTATATTATATATTATATATATATATCATATATATATACATACATAAACGGTATTAGCCCACTGAATGTTACTCATTCACTACAGTGTGATCTTTGCAGTGGGATTGCTGATGGGCTAATGGGATCTGCGAAGATCGCCATGGGATCCCTGTTGGGTTGATGGTTTTTCGACATTAAAAAAGACATCGCTAAATAAATAGCCAGCACATCCTATTGCTATATATGTATATATATATATATACATATATATATATATGTATGACTTTTCACTGCCCGAAATATATGTATGACTTTAAGAGGTTCCCATTCATGTTGAATAATATCTACATCTAATCATATATTCTATTGATATTCCACATATCACGATTCATCAATACATCCCATTAAATTTCATTAATAAATGCCATGTTACCACCATATTTGACCATATTACCCTCATGGTAAACTAACATATAGCTATTGAAATTGGCAATAGAAATAGTTGATTTAACCATTGAAAATGGTGGTTCTTTCCACAGTTATGTAAACGTTTACCAGAGGCTACCTCGAAAAGTGGGAAAAATCCCAACGTTTCCCAAGAGTTCCGAGGCGCGTCACGGGCTTCTTCTGCAACGGCGAGATGGGCGCTCCTGGGCTCACGAAGCCCAGTGAGACCCTGGAGGACCGAGAGCAGGTGCCGATTTCGGGAAACATGGGCGAAAAACCACGAAATTTGGGGATTGAAACAGGAAAAAGGTGGGAAAATGTGGAAAAAAAATGTGGAAAAGATGTTTGTCAAGCAAAATATGGCTACAACTATATAACTATATCAACAATTTGAAAGAATCAATGATCTGGGAGAATTGTGTTGGGGATTTAAGGAATTAAACTATGGAGGATTGAAGAACAGTTGTGAATTCACAACCAGATTAGGCAAGTTCACCACCAATATTGTGCTGCCTAAGAAAATATCGTTTTGGAAGACGGTAGCTGGTGCAGTTTGGATCAGGCTGACTCAGGCTGTACCCCTCAAAAATAGAGTTTTTTGGGGATACGCAGGGATACTCGCTCAGTATGGGATCCATAGTGCTATCTTAACAGTCATTGAGGCATCAGTAAATGTTGTGTCAGTAAATCAGATACGAACCATCCCATAGCATCCCCAGTAGAATCAGTAGACCCTTGGCCACCCTTGTAGTGAAATCATACGCCGCTAGCGTTTGGGGGCTATGAAACTCTTTTTCTTTCAAGCCAGCATGGGGACCCGTGGGTTCCAGGTGTGTGTGGGTCGCACTTTGCACTTATCCTTCAATACTGGGCTATAAATTATAGTTATGATATGTTATGATGAAGTGCATAGTTATAATTGATAGTAATGATTATAAGTAACTATACGTACTAAGTATAGTATATTACAGTACTATAATGTTAGTCGCAATGGGAACAAGAACGATGACAATAAAAATCCCCTCCCGGAATAGTGGATATCCCCTTCGAAACACAGGTTCGGTAGTAGATCTGTTCAGCTAAGCTGCGCCGCAGGTGGGATGGAACCGGAACCAGAAATTGGGATATGCAGATACTGCAAGTAAGGATGTGTCAACCAGGTAATCAACAAGTTTGGGGGAAATGTTATAATCAATTAGGTCTTGGGTATCATGTACATACGTTGCATTTCAAATACCCTATGGTTATCAACATCCAATTTTGGGGTAAATTATGTTTCAAATGTATGTTTCAAATAGATGGTGTCCTTTTTTCTATCATGCGGACCATGCGGACAAAGAATGGATCCGAACTCACTAAGTTGATTGAAAAAAACTCCAGTAGCAGCCGAAAGATTTGCTCGTTTCCCTACAGGTTGCCTTAAAAACTTAGTGAATGTACTTTAAGTGAATCAATGGATTGGTAAAAAACGTTGGTTTTTACCATCAAGTATCATCAAATATGGGGGGGGTTCCTGTAAATGTTCCCATCCAATTCTGTGGTTCTCAACAAAATTCATCCCTCGAATCCCGATCCGGCAGCATGGTGAGCGGCTCGAGCGTTCACATGCGTTCACCCCGTTTGACTGCCGTGGTCAGACCAGGGATCATGGTTTATCCACCAAAAAAAAGGAGATCATCCCATCACTAAAAGGAGATCATCCCATCACATTTCCGAAAAACTAGCTTTACTTACTGGTGCGTGCGTTTTACGTAGGGTTGCTGGATGGGTTGGGTTGCTGGGGTTGCTGGGATGATGACATTGATAGCCAGTGGATTCCCTAAAATTCCCCAGGGCACCAGTAAGTTTATCAATAGTTCCAGTTTATCAATTAACTTGTGAAAAGTGCTGTTTTTTGTTTATCAATGTAAACATCCCCAGTTACAAAAAAAAATGCACGTTTCACCAGTTCCTCACTGTTCCGAACTTGGGAGGTCCGCCCCATGTCGCTCCATGGCTTCACCGCGGTCTTTGCGCCACTGGTTTGCGACATAGAAAATGGCCATAGAAATAGTTGATTTACCCATTGAAAATGGTGATGAATACATATGAATACTATTATAACATATCTGGTTGGTGGCTTGGAACCATGGAATTTTATGACTGTCCCATCATATTGGGAATAATTCATCATCCCAACTGACGAACTCCATCGTTTTTCAGAGGGGTAGGTTCAAACCACCAACCAGTTAAAGTATGTTAAAGTGGTTAAACCAATGTCATAAACTACCCATGACTGGGAATGGTTTATTTAATTATACCACCTATAAAAATGGTAATGACTGGGGGATGGTTTATGATGGTTTTAACCACACTATATGGTTAATATTAATACATGGAGAACTCTGATATGTATAGTGGGAATTTCATGAAAATGAATAGGAACTCAAGATTTTTCCCATCCTAGCTTTGGGCTAGAAGATGGACCCTGTAGATATGATGTGCAATATGTGGATTTTCATTTAAAAAAAACTCTAAGTTGGTTTACAAACCCCATGAACTGTATATACGTATATATATTTATATTATATCTACCCTAAAGCGGTACTGAAACTTGCAAACAAGAAAAGTAGGGAACTGTGGGGCATCACCCTTGATTCTCCTAGATACAGTAATGTCAGATACAGTTATAGTGGTAAGTTGCTATGTATCTATAAACTACAACGGATACAATCCTAACACCTTAATATTAAACACACACAGAAATTCCCTACTAAACCATCGTTTCTAGGGGGTTGTTTAATATTAGGGGAAGGGACTAATTGTTTTAGTGGTCATTTGAGCAATGACCAATGTTCTTGCTAATTGGTTGTAGGACTGGGCTTATTCATCTACATGTTTTATTGCGAATTGTTTTCACACATTACTCTATGATACTTCCACATAGCTACCAAAACTCTCTAAATGTTCCATGTTCATCTATTTTCCATAGCCATGTTAAATTGGCAAACGGTAAATGAAAACCCGTTTCTCCACCGGCGTAAAGGCGTGAGAGAGGGTCTTGAAGGGTCGCAGATGGATTGGTGCTTAGAGACTTAGAGCCATCCAATTTCAGGGGTAGTTTTGACTACCCAAAACCGTGGCTTTAAAAGTCCCAAAGTTCTAATTGGGGCATGGCACTTGGGTCCATGGTGGCTGGATTCCATGGTGGAAACTCTGGGAATCAAAACATGGGATTAGACAATTTCCCGATTTCAATCTCAAAATTCAGCACACATGGAGATGTGCCATTGCCGTTATGCAGTTGCGAGTGCCATATTGGGCTCGATTTTAGTTTGTGCAACAGTGTATTCCCCTCCCCAAGCTCGATCTAGATTCGAGTGGGATGTCAAAAATTTTCGATTTTTTTTCACCTCAGATTTTTTTTCAGAAATTCTTGAGGAGCTTCAGGATTTTGGGGGTAATGACTTGACCCTCAAGATTTCCTGCCTTTTGATAATTGCTGTAGTTGGGGATGGGCTTTTCTCGTGTTCCATCCCTTCTTTGGGGGATGGATCTGACGCGTGCGACATCAGGTTGCTCATGTAATTCTTTGTGTACTAATTAATATAGCTCCAATTGGAGATGCTGAAGAGGCTCAATTTACCACTATTTCAAATCCTATATTTTACTAGGTCTTGTTTAATCAACTTCTATCTTTTTGGGGGTGCTTATATAGATACATTACCAATATGCCAATTTGCCACTGTCTGTTTGTTCATAGATGACGAAGGTGGCCGCAAAAAAACACTGAGGATTCTGGTGCCTGCGAGCAAGGAAGCCTAGGCGCCTGAGGAACAACGCCAGGGTTGCAACGCCTTATAGCCAGTTATACCCTCTGGTTATTTAACAGTTTGCGAACTAAACAATCACCGTTCAAAAAAAAACATATATAAAACATAATCAATCATCTATGGTTCATTTTTCCATAGTTATGTTAAATAACCAGAGGGTAACTCCAGTTAAGGGTTTCCATCAATGAGGGTACCCCAATAGCTGGATGGTTTATAATGGGAAATCCGATGAACATGGGTGATTTGGGGGTACCCCGATTTTTGGAAACCTCCAGTTATAATTGGAAAAAAAATGCTAAGAAACCACCGTTTCAGTGATATGTTTCACCAACTATAGTTGCAGAAGTTGTTTTGTCCCATGGCCATAGCTGTTAAGGGAAACAACTGTGAGGGTTCCATTGGTTAGTCTTCAACTGGGTGATGAAACCATTGACAGATTGGGTAAAAAATGATGCGATAATCAAGGAAAATGTGGGTTCTCGTGCAACAATACTGAAGGTTTCCCTTCATTGTTTCTTTGAATCCATATAGAACTAGGAAGAGCTTTGATTTTTAGGGAGCAATGAAACCGAACGTGGGAAAATTCAACAGATCCTTTTGTGAGTAATGATTGCCCAACGACAGTCGGACTCAATCCACTTTGGATCAACCTTGAGATTCAACGACCGCTATCCACAGCTGTAAACCGCAGGCTCTGGTGCAAGTAAATGTTCATGGTAGCCATGCGCTTTGACAACAACAGTTTAAATGGTTTGGATTGGGGATGTTTAACGATTCTTCTAGTTTCTGAGAAGTCAACTAAGATCGAGTATACATTCAGCAGTGTGCATTCAGATCATTTCAGATCCTGGATTTTCACGTTCCCAACTTCCCAACCCAACATTTGTGACCCACCACCTTAACATAACAATGGTATATTTGAGAGATCTGCGGGATCATACTCGTAGCTGATTGAATGAAGTAAACATTTTACAGGAACCTCCCATAGTTTATGTTGAAAACTCATGGCTTTCCAAGTGGTCTCCTTTTTCAGGTAAATCTTCACTCAAATCAAGCGCCCGCGACCAGCCCCTCTGGGGAGGCCATTCGCTTTCGTGCAAAGTAGCTGCTGATGCGGCTCTATGAGAGAAATGTGCTTCGTTTTGGGCTTGCGTTCGCTGCGGTTCTTGTAGAGTTAAGGTTTGATGAGGCGTTTTCAACACAAATCGCACATCAATGGATTGGATCCGCTTGTCATGTTTCTTCAGTTTTGGTCATCTTAAGTGTTTTTTTGGGTGTTGCTGGACAAACATGCAAGCAGACCTACCATGCACCCTAGAGAGAGGTGGTTTGAAAATTCGGAATGTCTTCAATTTGGCAGGAAACCAATTCACAACCAAGTGGATCTACCGCTTTCTGTTCCACTCCTGCTAGTAACACATGAGTTTGTTATAGGAGGAGTCTCAAAGGTTTTAAATTTCCCAAGTCGGTGAAATGCCCAACCTAATAAATGTCCTAACGTATGGGACATTTTTTTTTTTTGCCGGCTATTTTGGTGTTTACCCCGGGTACCAGGTTTTTGACACAAAAAGAGTTGCTTCAGGGATACTTCAGGTACGTAAAAGGTACAGTACTTGATCATACTTGATCTATGTCAGGTCCACGTAAGCCCTATGCAAGGGAATACAGCAATTGTCTATACCCCAAGTATGGCCTTTCGACAATGGTATGGTAGTGTGCGGTAATGTGCTGTACTTTAATTTGAGGTGCCGCCCGAAAAGGCTACTTTTATGTTTCAGGCTATGGTGAAGAAACGTTGCGACGGAAATGCACCAATTGTACATGCTTCACCAATGGGATTTTCACGGATTTTCTGTGAATTTATTACATATTATATATATATATATTTATTGTGTATATATCTATAATATTTATACTACATATATTATATAATAATATATATATATATATGTACCTGGTTTAATCATGGATCTTCGATTTTCATGGAGTTTCTGCGAAGTGCCAGGTTCCAGCTACCAGAGGGTGTAATTCCATGTTCCTCACATCGATCCAACCTCCGCCGCAGCTGTTTTTTGGGCCATGATGAGCCCACTGTCGTGCATAAAATGCCGCAAACATAGGCATAATATAAGATACTGTAATATATATATATATGTAATAGGTATGGATAGGTGTATATAGGTATACAACATGTTTGTTCTTGTTGCTTTCAAGATGCCAGGCACTTTGAATGGATCCCTCAAAGAAGAAGGGGTTCTGATTGCCAGCAATCAGGTACCCCAAATTTGATGATTTGCCGGTTGCCGTGGAAACACATGGTACCATTTAAACAGAAAGGGCAATATCTCCCATTCCATTCCCACAAAATGCGTGCTTTCCTCATGAAATCACATTAAAGCATCATAAGTTCTGAGATACAAACAAACACAAGTTGATCTTTCTGATGTTGTGAGCATCTTAATGTATATCTCCTGGCGCCGGAGCCTAGCGTTGGGTTCCCAGATGTGCGAAGAGCATAGGATCCATGGATAGGATCCATGGATAGGATCCATGGAAATCTCATCTATGTACTCATTCAATCGCAATTTATTCAAATACAAACATCAATTAACTCAATTAACTGGGGGTTTTCCTTAGTTTTGCTGGCAACTTAAACTGGTTTGGGTGTATTCGCCCTGACTTGTCATGACTTGTCTATTCGCTGGTAGATGTTCCCATCATTTCATGGCAAGAGATCGAAGTACATACAGTATGAACGTAGTTTTTGCCAAGGTTTGCCGGTTTCCTGAAATGGGGGTAGCTCCAAATCATCCATTTTTGTCTGGTTGGTGGTTTGGAACATGAATTTGATTTTTCCATATATTGGGAATAATATCCCCAACTGACTAATATTTTTCAGAGGGGTAGGTCAACCACCAACCAGTTATGATTTTGTTATAAGATTTTCCATTATAAAACCATCCAGCTATTGGGGATACCCCTACCCTATGACTCTGGAAACCCCCCAGTCAGATCCTGAGGCAACATGGGCGGCGTCGCATCGGCCGGGAAGTCGGTGGCCAAGAGCGTGGCGAAGCCTTTCAAACGAAAGGCCGAGCTTTGGTGAGGAATCCCTTCCCCACAAGAAAGTTGTGGTGATATATATATATATATATGTATATATATATATATATGTATGTATACATAATTACATATATATATATATATATTATAACTATAATTATATACATTATAATATATATATATAATATATACATATTATAATTATATATATAATTATATATATACATATTATAATTATATATATTATGATTATTTATATACACATTATAGTTATATATATATATCATAATTATATACTGTGAATATTGGCTATGGCAAATTGAGGTATGAATCAAGTTTTGGTATACATAATTCATAGTTTACCCTCTGGTGATTTATGCTGTGGAAGGAAGATAAGAATGATGATATTTAGCGCTATTAAAGATCTGGTGGTGATGTTCCATAGCTACGTTAAATTCAACGGAGGGTAATGCTATTGAATGGGTGTTTAATCAACAATGAAGAGGAAGGAATGCTGATATGTGATGGAACATAGTGGAATCTATATTAATTTTAATATTGACATAATGGGAATCTTCGCTGCGTACAGCAGTGTTGTCTGAGGTTGTTTGAGCATCATTGGCTGCAGCGGAGAGTCGCCCTGTTCGGATTGCAGAAGTGACCACAGGAAGCTTGCCCGGCACAAATCGAGAGAGATTGCCATCTGAGCCGAGAGGGGTGGCCTGGATGCCCGTGATTGACCCAAATTTGAGAGCACCGGTGCGCCTGGATCTATAGGAGATATTTTCCGGACTCCTTTAAGGAGCATCCAGTGCCACCAGGACGGAGCGATTCTGAGCAAAGGGTATCCGTATTCCTACCGTATTCCCCAGTAAATGGGAAGCCTCTTTGGGGTTCAACCCGCCAGAATTCAGGGGCCTTGTGGACATCCCAAAGTTGAAGGACAAGATCATCTTAGATCATGTTGAGATCTTCATAGCTTTGAGGTGTTTAGTCTTGACAGTGGTCCCCAGATTTCGGTCACCATTTTTGGAGGTAATAGATCACTAAGATTGGTGATAAAGCAGTAGTTACCCTCCAGTAATCAAACATACCTCATTTATAGATGAGTTTCCCATGTAAACCTCCATTGATAGAGGATTTTCCAGCCAGCGACGTTTGATTACCAGATGGTTAGTCATATATCCCATGATATTCCCATGTTTCTGAATTAGACTAGACCCCAATTACCATCTGGTAATTTAACATAGCTATGGACAATCACCATTTTTAATAGCTAAATCATCATGTTTATCATCTAAAGACATGGATCATGTTCATCCAGTTTCCATAGCTATGTAACAAATAACCAAAGGGTAAGTCCCAGTAAGTCACCATTGCTCATCCAGATGACTCCCTACCCGGAGGCTGCGCAAAGCGCTGTGCCCGCAGCTGGCGGTGAAAAAGGTGAGAGACTGATGGTTTGGAATGGGACCAGAAAAGCACCGAAATGGTGATGTTCAATGGTTCCCCACCTGCCAGGTGAGGGTTGTTAGATTTTATCTAAGTTGCCTGCTCCTCCTCCTCCTCTCCTCCTCCTCTCGTCGTCCTCCTCCTCTCGTTGTCCTCCTCCTCTCGTTGTCCTCCTCGTCTCGTTGTCCTCCTCGTCCTCCTCGTCCAACTGCGACCCGCGATCCACAGTGTTCGCTGCCGGACCTCAACCACGACCATCCACGCCCAGTGTTCCCTGCCGGACCTCAACCACGACCATCCCGCCCAGTGTTCCCTGCCGGACCTCAACCGCGAGTATCCCCGCCCAGTGTTCCCTGCCGGACCTCAACCACGACCATCCACGCCCAGTGTTCCCTGCCGGACCTCAACCGCGAGTATCCACGCCAAGTGTTCCCTGCCGGACCTCATGTAGGAAAATATGGGACAAAGAATGTGCAGAAGAAATGTCAGATAGAATGCCAGAAGATATGCCAGATAGAATGCCAGAAGATTTGCAAGATAGAATGCCAGAAGATATGCCAGAAGATATGCCAGATAGAATGCCAGAAGATATGCCAGATAGAATGCCAGATAGAATGCCAGAAGATATGCCAGATAAAGTGCCAGAAGATATGCCAGAACATATGCCAGAAGATTTGCTAGATAGAATGCCAGACGATATGCCAGAACATATGCCAGTGCCAGAACATATGCCAGAAGATACACCAGAACATATGCCAGAAGATATGCCAGATAGAATGCCAGAAGATATGTCAGTCAGATAGAATGCCAGAATTTATGCCAGAAAGAATGCCAGAAGATATGCCAGAAGATATGCCAGAAAAGTGCCAGAATGTTTGCCAGAACATATGCCAGAAGATATGCCAAATAGAATGCCAGAGGATAGAGATGCCAGAAGATATGTCAGAATATATGCCAGAAGATTTGCCACATAGAATGCCAGATAGAATGCCAGAAGATTTGCCAGATAGAATGCCAGAAGATATGCCAGAAGATATGCCAGAAGATATCCAGATAGAATGCCAGAAGATATGCCAGATAGAATGCCAGAAGATATGCCAGATAAAGTGCCAGAATGTTTGCCAGAACATATGCCAGAAGATATGCCAAATAGAATGCCAGAGGATATGTCAGATAGAATGCCAGAAGATTTGCGAGTAACAAAATGTGTAAATGTCATGGTGGAGATCACACGAAGTAAAGTAATTTACAGTATTTTTATGATTTTTGATGGGTTTACCATGGTTTACCACATTTCTTTGCCCAAAAAATTGATGAACATGGTCGATGCACCAGTGGAGCTAAGGGAAACCCCATTCTCCGAGACCCAAAAAGAGGTCCCAAGCACTTGGGGTACTTGGAGCGCCAGGTTATGATGCCTGGATGAATCGTGGAAAAACCTATGTGTTTCTTGGTTTCTATGATATATCTATGGTTTTCAAATAGTTTCCAAGTAGAAATTTGTCAATGGCGGGGATGGTTTCTTCTTGTAAACAGTAGATTCCCATACTCTTCAGTCCGAATCCAAGGAGGATCAAGATGGGAGGAGAGCTCTTTTTTGGGTTCCCAGATCTGGGATTCACCCTCCAACACCAAAGTTATAATTGAGAAGACCCAAATATCCATGTCATATCATATCAAAATCTGGAGTCATGGACATGTTCTTATTGAGATACCGATTGAACCAGGAACCCGACCTTTCCAAGTTCTCCCAAACCACCATTGGAATGGTACGTATTTTGATGCTGAAGGTTTTGATATTCCACCTGGCAAAGCTATGTTCCATGATCAGGATTTGCTCGTAAAGGATCCAAAACCTGCCAATCCGGATGAGAGTCAACTTGTGGTCATCTCCCTCACTGAAAATGCAATGGAATTATGATTTTTGGTGTGGATCTATCATATCTATCTGCACATGTTTGCCCAACCAAACCCTGGTTTGACGCTACTCCTATGCTCATTGACGAGCTGATGGTGGATGTGACATGGTGTGATCTCATTGCTCAACCCACAGGAAAATTGGTTGCTGAGCGCGTTCCCGACCTGTGTGGTTATTTGGCACTCGAATTGGCAAAACGATGGAAGATCACCCCAGCCTTTGTGAACATTTGTCTTCCAAACCTCAATCTTCAGACAATCTCATTTGAATTCATTTGATATCTTGCTTTACTTTGGGGCGCACCAAGATCTATTGAAGATAGCAATTCTCCTTCCCCAGGAGCTTAAGGGTTGTCAGCCACCTCTATCATTGGATCTAGCTGGTCAATATAAAAGGTCCTCCAAATATATCGCTGATGAACATTCAATGGACCATGTCTCTTTGGCTTTTGGGTGTTCAAAAGGGTATCTGCTTGTTTTTTTCCAGTGAGTAAGGGGGTCGCGGTCGTAGACAATAAAGTAATGAAACCAAAAATGCAAATAATACAATATGTTATATCAATGTATAGACACACAACTGGGGGTGTTCCATATGTTGTACAGCTGGGTTAAAAGATGGATATTGCCCACTGGGGATTAACTCCTGACAGGCCCAACTGGCGCAGAGCCCGCAGAGCCCCGAGCAGTCGCCGCGGGCACAGCCAGAGCCCAGAGCACACAGCGAGGTGCAGGGATAAATCTGGTTGGTGGTTTGGAACATTTGTTATTTTTCCATATCATGGGAATGTCATCATCCCAACTGACGAAGTCCATCATTTTTCAGAGGGGTAGGTCAACCACCAACCAGGTTTATGTGTTCTGCATTGAGCATTTTGTGAAAAAAACCCTTGGATGGACACTTTGGATCACTTGGTGGTGCTTCATGAAATATTTGTTGCTGTAAATGCTGATATAAACATAAGCACTACATAACGCGCACACAGCCGAAAAAACAAATTAGTTTTAAGCAACTGCAGGGCGTCAAAATGTGGGATTGTAAGCGATGCACATGAGGCATTATGGGTATTGCTTTGATGTTGATGTCACTGTCCGGCGTCACTATCATTTCGCACTACTTCATATCCCCAATCATAATGTGTGTTGCTTAAAGTCCGCAGTTGTTCTAGTCCTGAGTTTTATATGAAATTATTCAAATCGTCATTTCTGCTGCTCAAAATCAAGGGTTTCAATTTGTTTGCATGTGCTACAAGCCAAAGCGAGATATGTTATCTGAGTTTATCTGAACTATCATTTCTGCTCCTTGGTGATTTTGTTTAGTCCTATATTATATGATATTATATGTTGTCAATGTTGAGGTAGTATTTGGTGAATCATATCACCCGATGGCTACTTCTCCTCTGAGGATGGGACGCAACCGGAGCCAGAGCCAGAGAGTTCCGATTGCGTGAGGTCGAAAGAAGCGAAGCCTCCACGCCTCCACTGGTTCCTTTTCGGTGACAACTTCCCGGGTTTTTTGGTACGGCAAGTGGAACTTGGTCACGAGCCACCTGGATATTATCGCTCAGAGGGCCACGAGATCCTTGGACCTGACCTGGAATCCACTGGGATGATTGAGTCAACTCAAATCCCAGTTGATTCCACCGTTGGTCAAAAGCTCAAGCTACATCCCAGCCAACCGGAAACGCCATCCACAGCTATTTAATCCTTTATATCCTTTATATCGGTGACCATGATGGTGACCATGATTTTCATGATGCTGTCAGATGGCTGGCTCAAGCCGCAATGAGTTTTATTCCATCAATCATAGTCCATATGATTATCCCAGTAGTATCCCAGTAATATTGTAAGTATATATCATCAATATCCCAGTCATATTCCATATATCATCAATATCCCAGTCATATTCCATATATCATCAATATCCCAGTCATATTCCATATACTGTATATATATAATTATATATATATTACTTTATATATATAATTATATAATTATATATATAAAGTAATATATATATATATATCCAACAATATATCATCATATTATTCCATTCATATCCCACTAGACCCCCAATGAGTCACTTCACTCCTTTCCAGGCGAAGGCGAAGTGGGTCACAGCGGCCCCAGCAGCGCCACGGCCGCGTCTCTGCGAGGCGTGCCGTTGGGTGTTGGCAGAGCAATGTCATACGCCACCCATATGGATACCCTCTGGTAAACTAACATAGCTATGGAAAATCACCATTTTCAATGGGAAAATCCACTATAAATGGTCATTTTCAATAGCTATGTTAAATTACCAGAGGGTATCTGGATTGATGGTTTATACATGTTTATACCCATTCATTGTAAATTTATGTAATCTTTAAGGGCATGATTGCCGTTACTACTAACGTCAGTTGGAAAATCACTTTTGGTGTCATGATTTCTCGCTGGTTCATCTCCCAATTTGCTTGGATGTGCTCCCAAATCGTCTTGGTTGCTATTTGTGGATGGATCAAAAACCTATGATGCCAATTTTTGGGCGATGAACATGCATTTGCCACCATGTGACAGCTATTATTTGATCTATATATTTAGAGCTATATAATTTATAAAATAATGTTCTAAAAAATGGAAATGGGAGACCCTATGTCAGATAAATTTATAAGATGTAGAATTTTGGGTGGTGAAAAAAAACGATAATGACACCCCCCTTTAAAAAAAAAAGCAGAGAAGGACACCAGATATTTATAATTATATATCGTATGATATATTATAGTATATTTATTATATTCTATATTATATATACATATTCTATATTATATATGGGCATGCAGGGTGTGGATTATTTTCCACAGCCTGGCACGTCATTGACATTTTTGTTTATTTCCCGTTCCAGATTTGATGGCAAGAGCCAGGTGACCAGAGGATACTTCGCCATGTTTCCCTGGAAACTCATCTATCCGTGAGCAAATAGTATATTTTTTGTGGGAAAAGATGGGAAAAGATGGGAAAGTCATCCATGAAAGAAGTGCGAATCTCAGTCAATGGACACCCATCAATTCTCGGCAACATTCACGCTTTGTTTGGATCCATGTTCAGATAAATGTTCAATGCTTAGTGCGAATCCCTCAAATGAAGGGAGCCAAGAGGGAAATCCTCATGGCTTCTTGGACCTTGATGGCTTTGGGGTGGATAATTTGAGTTCCAACGATCTTAATGATGCAAACCCAATGTCATACACCATCCTCAAAAAATGTGGTGTGTGTCTTTCTAATTGGGCATAGCCCTACAACAGGGTTTGGTCATTGCAATATATAGCCATTATATAATTGTTTAATAAACAAATGTACCTATAAACTAGGCAACCGGTTGACTCGCCGCCCATAAACTACTATACACGCGACCATAATCCACCATTTTCGGACACACCCAAATATCATAGTGTTGGTCTAATATCGCATTAGTGTTTATAACAAATGCTTTCTCCACCAAGTACCCATTAAACCCACAATATAGTTTGTTTTATTATTCCATTCCATCCTATTTATTGCTTGAATCCCTATTAAATCACAATAAGAATCCCCAGGTTAGGTTGACATAAATCGTATTACCCTCTGGTAAACGTTTACATAACTATGTAAAATCACAATTTTTCATGGGAAAATCAACTATAAATGGCCATTTTCAATAGCTTTTTGTATGTTTACCAGGCCGGGTAAATGGTTGGATTCCCCTTGAAATCATCCTCAAATCCTCAAATCAGCCAACATTTTTCGTGGCTTCAGCGGCTTCCCCACGTCAGGTCAAGCAGAGTCCAAGAGCTCAAAGACTTCCAAAGCCGAAGAACGCCAGGTGCAAGGTGCAAGCCTGGATTCCAACAAGATGGCTGAGCGGAGGGAATTCTATGAGATTTAACCCAGGAAAAAATGCGGATTTTATGGTGATTCATGGAGATTGAACCAACAAAAAATGATAATTTTAAGGAAATATACACTCTGGTGATGTGTAACATAGGCCTATTTAAGGAGATTATTACGCTATAGATATAAATCTGGTGATATTTCATAGCTATGTTAAATTGCCAGAGGGGGGATCCAACCATCAATGAAGAATTGGCCTATTTGGGTCAATCTGATGGGATGCGACCAAAATGGGATGATTTCAGGAATGGACAAGCGGCACACATGTGGGATTTCACCAAGATGTTCAAGCTCTAGCATAGAATCTGGAAGAATTTATTGGAGAGCTACCCCTTTTATAGAAGAATTTCCCAAAGGAAAGCTCCACTCCAGCCACATTTGATTACCGGTACAATGTGGAGCGCCCAAGATAGCCAAGTTGGTTTATAACTCTAATAACTAGGACTTATGGTAGATATATCTATAGTTAATGGGATTATAAACCAACTCATAACTGGGGGGCACCACCTTGTAACTACCATGATGGCTTTACGGGGAATGTATCTATGCTGGGGTTCTGAGCTGAGCAGGGGAAACACAGGAGACCGATCGAGGTAATCTGGCTGCAGCACTCGGACAAGCCGCTGCAGGGCCTGCGCTGGCCAAAAACAACGGGATGCTTCAAGCTAGAAGGACCTGGCACACCCAGAAATCAACGGCTTTGAGAAAATTAATGAAGAAAATGCATGAGAAGGCTATGAACAACAGAATATCATAGAATTTCATGGCTTGAATTAGATGGAAAACCAACAGACAAATGGCTGGTTGGTGCTTTGAAACAAATTTTATATTTCTATTGGGAATCATAATCCCAATTGACGAACTCCATGATTTTCCATTTCATATATGGGATGTCATCCTTCCCATTGACCAACTCCATCATTTTTCAAGATGGTTATATGGGCACATTGCACCACCAACCAGCAACAGCCATAGCGAAATGAGTCCAGATCCCCGGAGGCTCCAGAGGTGCTTGAAGCTTTGCTCCCAGCATTTTGCAGACAGAAAAGGGTGATTTGTAATGTTTAAACCAATCAGGTGTTTCCAGATATAAATATCTATATAAGTCATGAGTCACAGTCACCATCAACAGTTTCAAAACTATGCCGAGTCCCAGTTCGAAGATTTGTTGGTGAGTCGTTCTTTTTGGCGCCATTCCCAGAATGAGCCCAAGTAGAACGCATCTATTGATAGGTAGTAAGGGGTAACTATCCCAAAATAGTTTCAAATATGGCTTGGAAATGATTCCAATAACCTAGAGTTAATTAGATTTGGCATCATTGAGAAGAATTATTGAAGTAATTTAATGGTCATTAATCTAACACATGAATATGAGAAAGTAATGATTGAAGTAACTTAATGATCATTAATCTACTAGTATCAAATACCATTCATTCTAAATTATTGGAGTCTGATGTTAATCAACAGCCATCCCACAAGGTGACGCCCTAAATCCTTGGCTTAGTAACTAACAGAGCCAGGCTTTGTCGTAGATTTATGACGTGGATAGGTTAACGATTGGATGTACGGTAGATATATGTTGACGTAATGGCATATACACATATATATATATAATTATATATATAATTTCTGAATGGGGTTCAGAAAGGTAGCCACAACAAGAAATGCAATCCTCGGATGAACGGCCGCGTTCTCTTTTCCCTGCAGATCTCGGAATGAAATGTCCCAGTCTCCTCTCGAAGGCAAAAATGCTGTCCACAGCACGCGAAATGAGTCGGCCACGACTCAATGGCACAAATGGGGTGCCGCAAGCACTTCCCACCCACCAATCCCTAAGGCTAGCCTCAGCCAAGTGCTGCAGACAGCTGTAGATGTTATATGTGTCTGGACCTGAAGCTTTGGAGTGACATGGACCATGGAACATGTTGAAATTCACACTCCCAAAAATCAAGAGTTTTCAATTTTCTTCTGAAGTTTTTAGCCATTTTAATCGGTTGCGTGCATTTGCTCTGTCTTTCAAGATCTGATCTTGGTCATGCAACTGATAGAATCCATACTTCAAGGTTTCTCGGAGGAAGCTTGTTTCCATAATCTTCGTGAGGCTGTCGGCAAGTTGAGCACCTGAATGGACCCACTTAAGCATCACTCCTTCGGACATCAAATCTTTGATGGCTCTGGCCAACAACTGAGTCCTGAACTCTTGGCAATTTGGGGGTGCTGTTCGCGACACCATGTCAAACAGTGACTTGCAATCCGTCACAGCTATGTCTGATTCGCTGATTTTCATGGTGGCTGTTGTTATGGAATTTGGAAGCTGACTCAAGGCTGCTTTGGGTTCCTTCCATGTAGTTTGCGGGTTTAAAATCCATGCCCAGTACAATCTTAACCATGACAACTGATCGAGTGTACTATTCAGGGACGTGGCTTCAGCTGACAAAGTACTTACTACGACCTTTTGTATCTTTTTACAGCCCCAGGATATGGGCGAAACTGGGCTTTGTACGTTCTCGGCAATCTGTTCATGTGTTGTCATTATCATCATTCCTGTGTGTGAATCAGGCTGTTTCTTTGATGAGAATGATGCATCAGAAAATGCAAGGAATCTCAGTTTGTTAATTGGGATTGGCTGGACAGTTATGGTAGTGTCTTTGTGGCGTTTGGCATCGTGAAGTATTTTGTTGGCTTCGTTCAGAGTCTGTATGGTGGCACTGTTCACAGCACTTTGCAAGAAACTCAGTCGGCTGGACAAGTCAGGCCGGGTGTTGACAGCTGCGTACTGAAGCGATCCTATCAAGGCTCTTAGAGCCTGCTGCTCTTCTGGGGTCACTGAAAGATCATGTTGATATTTTCGGATGGCATCGATGTGAATTGGTTCAATTTTGGAAATGTACTTTTCTTGTGACAAGTTGATACTGAAATTGGAATTTTGGTGCATGTCAATACCGGTAAAGGTGAATGTTTGTACTTTCTTGGACCCAAATGGAAAGATCTTTTCAAGTTCTGCAAGCTTTGTTTTGAAATAGGCATTACCCCCACAAAGACCGTCATCGACATGAACTCCGATGATACCTGCGATTTTTGTTGTTTCGGGTTCATATAGCACATAAACAGTGGGATCAAAAGGTGAAGGAATAAACGACAATGATCTCAGCGTTCGGTCCAGTTCTTGGTACCACAAGAAGGGGGCATCAATTAATCCATATGCTGACTTGGCGAGTTTACACACTTCGGTGGGTTTGAGCTGCATGGCTTTTGCCATTTCGGGAACTGGTTCGATGGCCAACACTCGTCCCTCCTGCGTCTTGCCTTGCAAAAAGGCGGCTTTGATGTCAAATGATGACAATTCCCAGTTCATTGAGGCAATCAACTGTAAAATCAACATTCTGGATTGTCGTCCAAGTGTAGGACTGTCTCGTTGCACTTTGTCAAGGGCAGGGTCAAGAAATCCTAGCACAACCAATCTGGCCTTTGCCTTTTTGTCTTTACCGATTCTCTTTTGTTCATCTTTGTCTTCTATTGGTTTCCATACGTAGATCCATCGGCATCTCAGGATCTGTTCGGCTGACAATTTGTTCCTGAGGATTTTGCATACTGTACCTGTCTTCAACCAGTTGTCTACCTCTGTTTGTTTGGCCTTCTCAAACTCTGCCTTTTCACTGGGTGAAAGTGTGCTCAGTTTCACTTCTGTTCTTTGTTTCTTTGGATTTGATGCAAGAAAAATCAGTTCTTCCACTTGGTCATGACTTATGTTGAAACACACGTCATCAGCGGGAACATCAACCTCAAAGCGCCAAGCAAGGTCGCTGGTTGTCTTTAAGTGTTGGGAATCATCGAGGTCTTGGCACAGCAAAAGATCGCACATCAAGCCATCATCATCACTGTCGGGAACTGGCACTTCGTGTGCTTCGGGAGGATTTTCAGGCGTCGGCATTTCAGCTTGCGGCACAGTTTCTGGTTCAGTGTCAGGTTGTTCTTGGGATTGTGAAGAATTTGAGCTTTCTTGGTGATTTCCATCTGATCTTTCTCTGGAAGCATTGCTTGAGGGAATGACGTTGTCACTACTGTTATCCGCATTGATTCTTTGTGGGGATTCTAAATTGGCCCTCATGTTGGATTCCCTGGCCTGCATCTGTGGGAGAATCAAGCTTTCATGGTCGGGAATAAGTTGGGCTTCAACAGAACTCACTGGTCGTACGTGTTCAGGGGCTGCTCGAACTAAAGTTCCGTGGTGCATGCTGAAAACTGAGTTTTGTCCATCTTGTTGAATGACTTTACACGGACCAATCCAACCTTTCTGGTGTTCACTTTGTCTCCAGATCATTACCCATTCACCAGCTACGTAATTGCCTCGGTTTGGGCGATTTCGGCGAAGCATTGCTCTTCTCAGTGCCATGCTGTTATCGGCTTCGTGAAATGCCTTTCGTGCTGCTTCACGCATTGCCAATTGGGTTCGAAAACGGATACCATGACCGTTCTCATCCATGGCTGCTAAGTGAGATGGGAGGTGGTCATCGCTGGCTACAGATCCAGGAACTCGGAGGCCTTTTCCAAACACCAATACTTCGGGTGAAAATCCATGTCTTAAACTGCATGCATTCTTTGCGGCTGTACACATGGACAAGGCTGTCTGGAGCTCAGAGCAGTTGTTGATACCATGGTCTAATTCAAACTTGGATAACATTTCCTGGAGGATTTCTCCATGGCGCTCGGTTTTTCCAATTTGCCAATGAGCTCCCGGTGGAATCACTGTGGCTTTGACATTGTTCTGTTGCAGGAACTTCTGAAATATCTCTGATGTGAATTCTGTGGCTGAATCCATGATCATCTCATTTGGGGGCCCAGCCCATAGGAACCAGCTTTGAATAAGTTTTTCAACAGCTTGTTCTGCGGTTCGACTGGGTGCAACACATGCTGTTTGGAAATTCGTACCATGATCTATGTAGTGATAGAAATGAAAGGATTGACCATTTTTGTTGATCCAAGTGACACCATCGG